AGGTAACCTGTTATTTAATTGCACAATTGGACGCAATAATAGCGATTTGGAAATCCCCGAAATATTCTATTATCGAAAAGCGTATCCAGAAGTAAAGTAAAACGACAAGGCCATCAGAAGCAGAAATAGAAATCGAACATGGGATCAAAGATGTACAAATTAACCTTTGAACATTTATAATGCGTTATATAAAGTGCCGTTGAAGAGATAAATGGCATTATGTTAACCATGATCGAATGCGTATTATTATTATTTTGTAATTTAATATATAAACAGTAATTTTACTTAGAAAAGTAATTTAACTTTCGTGACATCGCGACTCCGGTAGAAAAACGAAATATTTATTTCTTTGTATCGGTATGACGTACTTTTGCTGTTGTTGTATTTAAATGCAAGCGTGCGTCCATTCAGCATGTTTGTTACACGTCTTATGGCATTTTTTACAAAATAAGCGGAATAACTGTACGATGGAAATTCCGCATGTAACGAGGCTTTCAAACAGGTCGAAATGATTTGGATGTTACTCTCCGCTCGATTTCCGTAATAATAATATTTATAACGTCGGAGAATATCGATTTAATTAATGTGTGCGTAAATGGGATTTCATGATAATGATTAATACGAAAATTAAGCTCTCGCAAAATACGACATTTCCTTTTTGCGGATTTGCGCGATTACGGAGTTGACATTTAATATCGTTCGGGCTCGAATCGCCGGCAAAGGTACATGCATTATAATGATTCACGTGCATTTTCGGAATAGCGAGTGTCACAAAAAACATATCAAATTATTCCCCAACTATCTCGACGTTATTTCGACTGCACCATACACGTGAGTATATCGCTCAAGTTACGTAACTTCTGCAGGATTACAGCTGGCTCGATATTATATTGCATTTCCAGTCGGCTGTTCCAGTCACTGTGTAATTTAATGTATTCTTTTTCTGCCTGTCCTGGAAATATTCAAAATAGATATTTTTCGTTAAATATTCCGTGATCATTACTCGCGCATCGATTCTCCGGTCGCGCCATTAATCAGGGATTTGCATAATTTTAATTAAAAAGCACGCGTTCGCAAACGATCGAGAAACAAATTTCATTAAATCCTTCCCAGTCGCTGATTAACTAGCTGCTCGCGCTAGCTTGGATTTACGTTAGCGACACTGACACCGCGGGGATTCATATTTATCTCGAGTAAAAATCACACTAGCCGCGCTATCCTTGGGATATTTGCATACTTACGGAACGTATTGGAGCTCGCTCCAAATTTCGTAACTTGTAACGGATAGCTCGATCGTTCGTGACAATAAATTAGCTCGTACCTTATTTACCGCTATGAGATTGCGCAAGGAAAATGAATCTTTTCTGAAAATTTCGCCGGGAAATGAGCATTTTTTTTTTCTGTTTAAATAGAGCGTATCCCATGGAATCTCTTCTCCTTGTTGGGAAAAAATCTCAATGTGTGTCAACATCGGATTGTACGGAACGAGTATAATTTCGGACTTTGCGGATAACCCGTGCGTGAAACCCGTGATTATTTACTGCACATTACTTTTGGCACAATACTTTGTCTGTAAAATTCCGCAAGCCCGAGACGCGAGTTTGTTAAAGAAGAAACGGCGGGATAAAGCGTGTAGATAAGCGAGACGCGAGTCGGTAGGTTAGAGACTTCCGCACGTATTGTCTCGCGAAAGGAAAAAAGAAAACGGGAAATGGCAAGAGAGGAAGAAAACACAACACATCTCAGTGAGCAATCGTACCGGAAAGTTCCGCCGTCGTAACGACTTCCGATGTTGTTAAGACTCGCATCCCCGAACTTGTGCTAAGTAATGAATGAAAATAAAGCGCACCGTATGAAATTTGTAGGCGGTGCATTAGCGTAATGGAAAACTCTTATCTGCGAGGCAGTTATTAAGTTTAAGCTCTTTCATGCACGGATAAATTTCCTTTTGTCACGAATATTATGGAAACGTGTCTTGCGACTTGATGGAGCTAACGAGAACTTTTTCCCGGTATTCTTTTTACGTGTACCCGTAAGTCAGTCACTTTGAACTGAACGTAGTAATATATCAAAGCATTTATCCCGACGTCCTCTCCTTTAACGATATTTTATTCCGAGATAACTCTATCGCGCGCACGACGCGCCATAGATACGGCTGCGATTATTACGATTAATGCGCGATACATTTACCTTGGCCATTATCGTAGGGATTCGGGCCGGTTTGACGTTTCTACATTTTCAAAATAATAATTTGATCTACGGACGAGCGACCCGCGCGCGCGCGCGAGCGAGTGCATATTTTGCTCGCGCTGCGCTCTTCAATTAACATGAAATTTTTAGCGGGAGAGAGAGGAAAAATCGGGAGAGAAATATATAAATAAAAATCCTCCCGAGGGACAAAAAGACCCTGATAAAAATTTATTCTTTATTAGGACCTTTTTAAAAAAGTCAGTTTCAGTCAGAATCACCTTTCACGTGCTTTCTCGAGGTTCACCGCCGACATTTCTGCATTTTGTGCGTGTGTGTGTGTGTGTGCCCGGTAATCTAATCTGTGTAAAAAAGTATCCGCAGTGTGTTATATCTGTACCCGTATCGTGTCCATTTCATTTACTTAGAGAAGAAAGAAAACAGAATTACACGGCTCTCCTTGCAAAGTTTGACAAACTTTGTCCGACAAATATTTAGTTGCGCGCGCGCACGAATGCATCGTGGCTAACGAATCCAGTACGCATTACGTAATTATGATTAATGGCGCGAAAACTCGTTGTTATGTCCGCGTTTGTTCCGTTTTGTCTCGCTCTCCTTTTGGTCGCGTGTAACGATTTTAAAAGGATTGCAACCGTGAAAACTGGTTTTCAAAATTGGTACGCTGCCTTGTGTAACGACGTTCAATTACCAAGTAATTATGCCGGCAACTCCCTTGCGCCGTAATGATTGTACATTAATCGAGTAATATCGCGGGATTAACAGCGTTTTTCTCCACGCCTCTCCGAATTTATCGGCCAATTTTTATCGTTACGTTCAAAATCACACGTCGTTTTTGTGCCCTTGTTTCGCCGCGGTTTTCCCGAATTTTCCCCGAGTTTCCCCGAGTGCGCGCCCTTAATTTACGCGTGTACTTGAAACACGCACACGCACACGCTCGCTCGCACACTCGTCTGGGAGGACGAGACCCAGACGGAAATAAAACAGCCGAGAGTGCGAGAGAATCGCGTGGCACTCTCGCAAATTTTCGCGCTTCATAAGTCTACGGCGGCGAAGGGCTTGGCGGAAGCAATCAGTACGCGTTACCGACCGACGGACTAGATGTATTAGGTACACGGGCTAACCCACATAAATCTCAAGCTCGGTGGCCACCGAGCGTGCTTCGAAGTTGTTTTTGTTACGTGGAGCCACGCGTTCTGCTGAGTGGACTTTGCAGCAAGAAATGTGACCCGTGGTGGCCTCCAGTGGCCGCCGCCGCCACCGCCACCGCCGCCGGTAGTAGTCAGATTTTCAGGCCAGATCCAGCGGTGCTATTTACCGAGCGCGGCACGCCGCGCTCGGTTTCTAGCTCGCCGTTCGGCCAATCAGGAATAATAATGGGGGGGACGCTTCGCCCACTGGTTAGCCTCCGCGTCGTACGAAAGCAGGTCCGCAATGGGCCTGCTCCGACACCGAGTGACATTGTCTACTCAGCAACCTGTTTATCTCCACGCAAGAAAAAACAGCCTTGAATCACGCTCCTTCGTCGTCATTGTCCTTCTCTCATCGTCGTCTTCGTCGTCGTCGTCGTCGTCGTCGTCGGGATTTACCTCCTCGACTTGAGACCGCTAACCCTCGTGCGAGGGAACGCACAGTCCATATTTCGCACGAAGACCCGGCGACCGCGATCTCGTACAGACAAGGAGATCCGTGATACGTTCATCTTTTTTTATGACGGACCCGGGGCTAAAAGGTCCGCGACCGGTCGCGCGTATCATGCAACCTTAGATATATTAAGCGTAACAAGAAACGTATACATATTACGCGTCGCGTTATAGAGAAACATGCGCGCTTCCCACAAGTCCTTTGTATCACTCTGTGATACTTTCTTCTTCTTCTTCTCCGCTTTTTCTCCCTCTCCCCTCTCTCTCTCTCTCTCTCTCTCTCTCTCTCTCTCTCTCTCTTTCTGGCTGGGCCTGCAATCTTGCTTTAGGACGTGAGCAGTAAGCAAATTAACCACAGCAGCCACAGTCCATTATTCTTCTTACACGGTCTATGAATAAGCGACTGTGATTGGCCAATTTGTTACTGCTCATGTCTTAAGGCAAGCTTGTGGATCCTCTCCCTTCTGTCTCGGTACATATAATATGAATCGGTAATTCGTCCGGGCGGGAGAATTTTATTCGCTCGCGATTGAAACACTTGAGCGTCATCTCTCCCGGCTCGATGAACGAAAATTAATTCGCCAAGACGTCTCTCCGCTCGCTCGCACGGAAACCGACCGCGGGAAGCGCGCAGCGTCGTGTCTCATCATTATCGTCGTATTTCAAGGGGTACTGCTTTTACGACGTATATTTGTTGAGGCTCCTATTCACTTGTTTGGGTTGCTCCAGCGAATGTTGTATACCCGCGCAAGAGAAGGGGGAGAAGGGAGAGAAAGAGAAAGACAGAGAAGGAGCTCTCGCGTAATCCTTTCCTCAAAAGATGCCTCGTACGCTTGCGCTGCGTATAAACTTCTTTAGGAATGCATGAAACGATAAAGAGAGAGAGAGAGAGAGAGAGAAAAAAAAGAAAAAAAAAGAGAGAGAGAGAGAGAGAGAGAGAGAGAGAGAGGCGCGCCTCGATGATGTAAAATCGATCGGGCGTAATCTTCGAGGCGGTCTACTGCCCCCATCGCCAAAGGATATCCGCCAAGTTTCCGGATGCAATCGCCGGGGGTTGCTTTCACGACGGTTAATCCGGACTAATCTCGGGGTAATCCTATCGATATATACGATGACAAAGCAACGGGCTATACGAAAAGACAGGCTTCTCACCTCCGCGGGTGGTTTTCCGCCGACACTTATGCACTCGATCACCAGCTCGCGATCCTCGGTGGTGATGAGAAAGTCGCCCTGCAGGATCTTGGGCTTGTGCGGCGGCACCAGGACGCTCAGCCGGGCGAATCTTGATCGCAACGACGGCTGGCCGTCGTTCGTCGGCGAAGCCTGGCACTGGTACGTGCCGTCGTCCTCGAGCTCCACCGGATATATGTGCAGCGAGAAATCGCCTGAAATCAGAAGACATCGCACGAATGAGTGTCGGGGAAGCATGGCGTTGCGTTGGGGACGTCTGCTCTCTTCTCTCGTCTGCATGTTGACGCCAAAGTCGCGTTACACTCCCGGTCGATTCGGGCCGGTGAACTTTTCCCCCGAATGGAATCTTAACTATTCGCGGCCAAGTCCGCGCGAATTGCAATCAACCGATCCGTGGAGATTCATTTGTTTCGCGACAAATCGCTCTGGCTCCGATATTTCGATGCTTGACTAATGCAACGACACATTTGGAGCATTATATTTATATCAGGTTATATTTAATGCTTTATATTGTTATATTTAACACCATTTATATTGCACACCTCGTTCATGGGGATGGCTCATCGGACCGATTATGATCAAATGCGACACCCGGAGTCGAAATTCCACGCTCATCCTGGAAATTTCGTCAAACTCGGAGGACATTATACAGGCTGTATTGATTTACTTTAATGCGATAATTGGCGAGTTTTTCTCCATATCGATCCTTCGTCCTTCAAAAAGGAGTTCGGAAGTACTTAATATTCGATTATCTACTTGTAATATTCGATATTCTACTTGTGCTTGATCTTCTCTTGGTTTCAATGAGCAATGCATTAATCGAGCGATTTAATTGCAAATAGAATATGCAAACATTAAATAATCCAGCAACGATTAATGAAACGAAAATATAATTATTAGGTCAGCAAAATAACAAGTTTACTTCTTTATAACTTCTATGTTATTCATTTGTGGCGTTGAAAATATATGCATATGTATATCCATGTATACACATGTACAAAATACATATAAATTATTTATCGACGTTACACATGACAATGCTATGTCGTTCGATGCATCTGGAAATAAATAAATCACATGATGTATGAGACGCCGCTGGCGTCCTGAATCCTTCGTCCCGGCCAGCCTGTCATGACACTCCGGACAGCTCATGGCATTGACGCCCGCGTAGGCTACGAATTTATCGACAACAGAATAAAAAAAAAAAAAAAACAATACACGCGTTAATTAACGCGATGTGCGTCGGCGAGAGAGTCCAATTAAACACTTCAACAGTTGTCGAAATATTTCGCCTAACGCATGTAACATATTCGCGGTAACACGGGAAAGCACGTGTCGCGCGCGCGACGATGCCGAAACAACGGGCAAAAGTGGAAACTCGTCCCCTCCATCAATCGCCCGGCGTCGTCGCTGGCCCGACAATGAGTGCCGTGACGAGAATCAAAACATTCCAGAGCTTCAAAGGGGTCAAACGTGTCGCGCGTCGCGCGCTTTTCCGAGTGTTTTCATTACGTCGCGAGTTGTCGCAGAGGTGAGAGCGTTGCGCACGCCCGCCAGGTGCGCACATGTGTCGGTGGTATGCTCAACACTCCCGTCGACTGATTAGGATATTTCGCCGGTTTTTGAATTGTTTAATTGGACTCGGTATCGTCGACTCGGTATCGGGTGTTAATTAACACGCGTGTCTCCGATCGAGTCGTATCCGCGCGAGTGTCACTGTCAGTAGTAGCGCGGACGACGGGCCAGCCAGGATGCTGCCAGGACGAATCGCGAGGGGATCGAGGAAGGACGGAGGACGCGGGACGCGCCGTCGTATATTTCGAGATACGCCCAATCGTTGATTATATGGTAAGTTTTCCTTTTCAACGGGTGTTTTCGACGAGATTTTCGAGGACTGAGTGACAGCCGAGTCGAAATTTAGGCCGGTATTCGGTGGTCTGTTATTATGCGACGAGTAATTAGAGCTTGATGAATCTTCAATTATTCGTCAATCTGTACGTCTGTGTTTGTCATTTTATGCAAGAAATATCGATTCAAACAAGCAGATTGTCCGTGACATATTTTATATAATGAATACGAATTTTTAATAATGCCTGTAATTAGATATTCTAAATAATTAACGGCTATGAATATCGGCCTTGAAATTTAATTTCAATCTCATTAGCACTGATTTTTACGTCTAGTAATACGCTCCTCGAACCGCGAGTGCGATTCTGTCTTTGTATTTACCGGTGCTTCTTTATTTCCGTCTTTCCGTTTAATCTTATATGGCACGAAATACACGAAATTTAAATTTCTATTTGCAAACATACGCATACAGCATTATTAGACACATAACTATTGTCCGTTCCAGTTTTGCAGCTTTTAATCAGTTCTGATAAGAGCTTCAAGTTTTGTCATACCTTCCAACGTAAAAAAAAAAAAAAAAAAAAAGGAAAAAAGGAAAAAAAATGAAAAAAGAAGAAAGAAAAGAAAATTAGGAAGATATGAGAATAAAGTGTTATTTCTTTCACCCCTTTTTCCCATCAAATGTTTGTTTCATTATTCAATGTTTGCTCATTTCATATATTCGATTTGCACAGTTGAATAAATTATATAATTAATAATATAATTAAATACATTGCTGCATTTACGGATAATGACTGAATATGCAGGTAAAAGTTAAACGCAGAAATATCGAGATAATCAGATATTAAATAATTTCCAGAGTAGTCTTTTTTTAACTCAACATGACGGCAGCAGCAAGTATCAGTTTCTTTATCATCGTCAGGTAGAGTATTAGCTTGTGGAGTAATTATACCTCGGGGGGGATTCTTCATCGGTCCTTAAAATTGGACAGAATTTGCGGGGCCAACGTGAAATTAAAATCTCGACTCGGTTACTATTCTACGTAGAACGGCCAAGGGCCAATGTCGATCTCAGTCGCGATTCAACGCGATAGGCGTGTCACCGCTGGCGGAAAAATTGCGGCAAAAATTCCCTCGATGCGGCCGCTTCGTTGAGAAAAATCGGCTTCCGGCTGATCACACGAGATCAGTCCGCGAGATGTGACGTGGTGGATAAGCTCGCGATACTTTTATATCGCATACGCTATTCTGAATGGGAGACAGAGAGAAAGGGAGAAGAAAGGGACACGGGAGAGCTGGACGAGCAAGGGCCGATTGTTTCAGCTCGCCCGCGGAATACGGTGGCGTTTATGTCGTCGCGCCGAGTATATGCGAGCGTGGAATTTTATCGCGCTGCGCGCTCTTTATTTTAAACGTTTCGACTCGTCGCGTATTCACGCAAACTGTCAGGAGCCAGCCAGCCTGATAACTGCTATCGACGAATTAGAGCGAGTTCATTCTACCGTGAGAAAGAGCCGGCTCTCCCCCTCTCTCTTTCTCTGCTTGTTTCTCTGCTGCCTTTCCTCCTCGCTCCTCCCCCCGCCCCCCCTCTCTCTCTCTCTCTCTCGTGTCTCCTCTTGCCGGCGGTTGAAAACCGCCGATTCTCTCGTCAAATCGCGAGAATTGGCACATTGTCTGTCGAGCGAAAGTGGCGTCGCTCAAAAGTATCGCGAGCGTCGATTCACGCCGAGTCGCGTCACGAACGGTAACGTATCGCGCTCGAATAAATCCGCGTCGGCGTGCAATTTATCCCTTCCCCCCCTCCCCCTCCTCCCTGCCTACTGCGCGCAAAGCTTCCTTCTTTCGCGCACGGGCACTTTTTTCTCCTCCCTGTCGTTCCGCCCGTCCGATCCTTCTCGCGCGAATCGATGTCACGCATCCCGATGCTATAACACATCACGCTTCGGATCGGGCGCGAGGTGAACAAAGCGAACACGACGGGAGAGAGGGTGGGAGGGAGAGAGAGGGAGACGTTCCGCGAATGGGCGCGGCGGCCGAAGGGACAGCTCATGGTCAGACAGTGGAAAAATGTAATTGTCAGTCAGCGTGTGTGCGTGTGCGACGAGGGATAATTCCTACAATAAATTGCACCTTCGCGATAAAGCAGCCGGCATGCCGGCAATAGCCGTCGTCCTGGCGCGGCGACGCGTTAAGGACGCCCGTCGTCCGAATGTGTCGGCTCTAATTTCCCTCGGTTTTCCGCAGGCCGCGCGAAGCACGCCGAAATATCGCGACACAGATGTAATCGCGGGAGAAGAGGCAGATTCACGTATAGATACGGAAACAATCACAGGTGAATACAAAGAGAGTGAATGGCAGGGGGAGGGGTAGGGATGAAACAAGACGATGGACGACGTATGCGAGAAAGAAATGATAGTCTTCAGGTCCGTCTGGAATGGAATCAGCGTCGTCGAAACAGGAGCCTTCGACGCGATGACCGAAAGCGAAGAGGTACGGTGCCTGAGAGATAGATCAAGCGGACGATAGAGAACGGAGGAGAGCAGGGAGGGGAGGGAGAATAACGCGATAATAATTTAATTTTCGTAGTTCGGAGAAAAAATTGCTCCCTTGCCGCGCGATTTGTGCGATTTGACGTGGACGTTGGAGAGCGTTATTTAGCGTTCGCGTACGTATGTACGTATGTATATTTGTATTTTCTAGATGCGTACGTTCGCGAGATATTTTTTATGCATTTTCCGTTGGCGAGCGTTGAACGGGGGGAAGGGGGTGAAAGGAGAAGGAGGAGGAGGAGGAGGAGAAGCGGAGAGAGCCGTGCAACCCTTGCATTCACGCTCGGCGCGTCGCCGCGTCCGAGCTACGGTGGCTCATGCTCGATGAAACGTATGAGCCGTTCGTAATACCGTGCATTTCAGCCGTTAAACGTCAGGACGTTATCGAAAATAATTTCGCCGGGGAATTTCGGTGCGGGTGCGGGATGACGCGAAAAGCTGCGCGTAGCCGGCCGTCCGTGGCGCGCTCTCGCGCCAGCGAAATTGACGAGCGCTCCCGCATTAAATGATAAAGCGTTTTTACGCTCGTCCCTTATTTATTTCGAGCTGCAGCGACATATTTATTCGCAATTCCCACCGATGTGTGTGTGTGTGTGTGTGTGTGTGTGTGAATCGGTCGATGACCGATTTATTTTCTTCCCCATGTACTCATGTACGGTTTGACCGGACGATATTGCGTAATGAGGGAGAGAGAGAGAGAGAGAGAGAGAGAGAGAGAGAGAGAGAGAGAGAGAGAGCGATTCGATTCATCGGCTTTGGTATTTCCCCGGCGAGCGGCGAGCTCGGAAGAATTTCCGG